AACATTAGATTCATCTGTAATTAATATTTGCAAAAAAATATTAAATAAAATTTATTTTTGGAATAGTTTTATGAATCACTACACTTATGATGGTTATCTTTGTATTTTGTAGTATTTTTTTAATTTTTTATTACAATATTCTTTTTTTTCCATAATTAAAGGGGATTTTTTTATTTTCGCAATTATTTTTTAGAATCATTTAACATATTTTTATTATTTGAAAATAAGTATTATATGTATACTTAAAATACTTACTTATTTTTCTATTATTTTTTTTAAAAGTAATTGCCAATAGATTTATTTTACTAAAATTCATAGATTAAAGATGTGTAATTAAGGGATGCAAATAATCTTGGATTTTTCATAAAAAAGATAAAAATATATTGAAAATTAAAATTATAAAATAAAGTCATGAAAATTTACAACCTTTTCATTTTATAGATATTTATGAATTTAATTTTTGTATTTTCCATTTAACTTCAATTTTATCTTTTATTAACACTAAAAACTTTTTAAAATTAAATATTGTTGTTTAAAATTTATGCAATAACTTGTTAATAATAAAATGTTATCAATTTCATGGATAAAAATTCTCTTTCTAACTTCATAATGAATTATCTTATTAGAGATATATATCATTATTATTGTATAAGTTCAAATTGTAAAATCATGTTTTTTTTGAAAGAATGTAATTAAATTAAACATCAAATATTACGAAACATTTTATAATATTAAAAAACATTCTATCAAATTGATTAATAATATAATTAGAAGAATACATACTTTTATATATTTGAAAAATAATTGATCCGTTTTTATGAATAATTTCTAAAAAGTTAATCAATAGGTTTTTTTTTTTAATATTTATCAATGATTGAACCATTATAGTATTTAAACCTTTGATAAAAATTGAAATTTTCTTTTACTTTGTTATTAATTATATACGAATTTGATTAAGTTCAGAAATTATTAACTATAATAAATTACTAATTATATGCCCTTTAATGAATTGATCCGGAGTGAACATAAAGAAAACTTCCTCTAAAATCTTAAAACCTTTGGTGTAACATGGTTGCCCAAATTTAAATATATTCAATTCAAATACCCATCCTCCATTAGTAATTAGATCTCTCATTACCTTCATTTAAATACATATTCTCCAAAATCAAGTTTAATATAAATTCTCAACAAAACATTTTAATTTATAAGTTTCATATTTATTATACAAAAGTATAATTTTAATATAACTCTAACCTCTTCACCAGAATCATATTTTCTCAACATAGCATAGATATCATATTTGAGAACCATGAATTTATAAGTCTTTCTTTATTATCCTCATTAACGATTTTTGTTCCATTTACTTAAACATGTGTGGATTTATTATATTAATAATATTTAAAAAATATATAAAGTGTTTTATGCACAGGATTTTCAACAGGATACTTATTAAATTTATACAGAATAAATACTAAAGGGAAATTTACAAAATATTTGGGTTCAAAAAGAGAATATAAAAAATATATTCATCCTTTTGTCTTTATTCTATAAAATTCTCAATATTTTGTAGTTGGCTTAAGATTATAAGACTTATTTGAATTTGTATACACATCAATTTTATAATGCTTTTATTATTTCAAATATCTTCTACAATCTTATTAAACCTTTTTTTTAAATAAGTTCACCTTTCTTATTAATTTGGATTATTTTTATATTTATTTATGAAATTAAAATCAAGGCAGTAATTTTTAATGAATGTTACTTATCTATCTATTCTTTGATAAATTAGGATTTAGAATACATTCAAGAACCTAAAATAAAAACTTTTCTAAATGCTTAGAAATCACAGTGATATTATAAATCAGGTCCAAAAATTGTGCCCATTATTCTTAAGATACTGGGAGAGAAAAGAGTTGCTGCTATCAAAGTACCTTCTCCTTTTGTAATGCAACTTAATTCATCAAAAAGTTTATTTAAATGGTTAAATATTGCATTATGGTTTACAATTTGGCTAAAGGAGTTTTTCATCAATACATATTTGTTATCCATTCTATTCTTTGATTTATTATCAGTCTGAAGCTTAAAAATGAAAAAATATAAGACTTAGCAACTATATAACATAGTTTAAATGGATTAACTTTAGGCATTAATTAAGATGCATATCGATTATTAAGCTAAATCTTCTCGTTTTTATTTATTTATACTTTAGAATGAAGAGAATTGATTTGGATAAATTATATTAATTTATAGGAATTAAAATAATTAAGAGAATAGATGATTGGTATCATTTAAAAACTTTAAACTTTTTAAACAACCTATGCAAGCTGTTAGATTAGATAAAGATCCCTAGGGATTCTTCTTATTTAAGAGACTTCCTGTAATAAAACAAATTCGAATGAATTTAGACCTAATAACACTAAAAATTTATAGTGAAAAATTTCGAATGAGAAGAATGATAGATAGATAATAAAATAATTCTCCACTTAAAAATAAAATTTGAATTATTTTTTACATGTAAAATCTATGGACTAAAAATTGAAATTGCAGATTAATTTTTCTGGCTTAAGCTATGGTGATTTTATAAAAAGTAAGAGTAGTAGATCGGAAAGTAAACAATATTGATGGGTGTTTTTGGATTGGATTTCCACCATCTGAACAGTTAAGCTTGAGAATAGAAGAAGCCTTTTGTGTAGATTTAATGTACCGTTAGTAAAAATGTTCTTTGTGATTCTATGTACAAATTATAAATTTAGAGTTCCTAGTATGGAAGATTGTGGGGGGTGGTAAGAGTGAATAACTATCCTATTTTCATATATAGTAGAGAATAGGAAGAAAGTATTTATTACTATATAATAAAGTACTTGATTGTACGGAATTTAAACTGATTAAGCGATTAATAATAATTATGAGGTATTAGATGTTGCTTAATTTGAGGTTATTTTACTAGCTAGCTATCAAATAATGATTTTTTTTTAATTTTGGATATTTTTATAATTATCATTTTAATTTCAATAATTTTACTTATTCTAATCTTTATTTTTTTTCATTCGTTATTATAAAATTAATGTTTTTGATTGTGTCATCAATTTCAATTTGTCTGGCCCTGACTGATTGGGTAATGATGGACTCAAGTTTTTTGAACGTTTTCACTTTTAATAACAACTGTGATATTTCAAAATATAATTCATTTTTTGAAATATGATGTTTGGCATGAATCTCATATTTGCTAATAAAATCAATAAAATATAGACGACTTAAGAATTCAATTAAAGAATAGATAATATTTATGACATAAAAAGTTACTAATCAGAAAAAATAGTTGGTATATTTTTTGATAATGCTGGAAGCTCATTTGATAAAAAAGTTTACACATTGAACCTAACAAAAGCTCATTCTTAAAAAAAATTATGAAGTAGAGAAACTATTTCAACTCTGATATAACTCAAAACGCTAAAAGAGCATGCAATAGTTGAACTACATAATATTTTGATTTTAACACATTTTTAGGTAGTATTGAAAATCTATTTTCACAAAATTCATCATCTGCATCATATAAAGAAAAGTTTAACATACATATCAATAGGGATTGAAATTTAAGAGGATATTTCAATTCTTGGCATTTAAAATTTAATCGTCTACGTCAAACATTGTGTACCAACTTGCAGGACTTGTTCAAGTACTACAAGCTGTCTAATTTTCTTTATGGTTCTCTATAATTAGGTGGAACTTGTACTTGGGACCCTTCTTATTAATTGGCTTAAACTGGTGTTTGATGCCGATAAGAATGTGAAAGAGATTACTTTATAAAAAGATCAAATAATATATGTGTTCCAGATAAAAGAATTAAATCACTCATTTCATATTTTGAATCTACAACTTTCAGTGCAATTTCTTCTTTTTAATTCGTTCAAGATTCTACAAATTTAAGAAGTTATCCATCTTTAATTTTCGATTGTTCATCTACTAAATTTGTAGGAAGTTTACTTTACAGTGAAGGAATGAGTTTTTAATTTGAAAATTCACAATCCTTATAATTTATCAGGCTTAAGATTTCATTTTATAATAAGAGCTTTTAGACTTACAATAAAATATAAATAAGATTAGATGACTAAATATAAGGTGAAATAATCAAAACCTCATATAATTATACTTTTGATAAAATTACAAAAATTATAGTTCGGGTCTCGCTTGGGCTAATACTTATGATGTAATCAGGATAGAGACAATACTAAGAATTTATTCTAATGATCCTTTACTTATTTTAAAAGGAGAATAATTAACTTTTGGGATTCAGAAATACTATAATTGATAGTGATAATTTAAAAAGAAATTTCGCAGTATGTGGAGATTTTTCGACTTATCAAAAATGTAACACTAATTACTTGCTATTTTAAAACGGTTGTGTCAGTACTTGTCCTGTGCATTCTTCTAATTGCGTTAATTATTCAAATACTATAGCAAATTTATTTTTAGACTCTTGCTACTTATTTAGCAAAAGGGTTATATAATTTAAATATGAGTATTTCAAAATAAAAATACTTCCATATCCTTTCCTTTTTATAATAGATGAAGTAATTGAAAGTAATGAAAAAATAACCATTAAAATAAACAACAATCCAATAATAGAATTGATATTGTTGAAAATTTCAAATGGAGAATCAAAATTGTGATTTGGAAATGATAATATAGCACTGAACATATACTAATATATGACTGTTTCATAAAATTTGAAAATCCCTTTAGAAAAGTATTGAATTTTTTTAATTAAGCATTTCTTTTGAGTTTATTTTTAATTAAATGAATCATTTTGATAATTTTCAAATTCTTTATGAATTTATTTTCAAGTTTGAAAATGATAGTTTATAATATTTTGATACTAATATGCAGTAGATAAAGTAACTTAATATAGATGCTATTACAGAAAAATAGCAACTTTTAGCATTGAATAAATAAAGTTAATGTAAAATATTTTTAGGATCTTAATTCAAATTGCTTTTCAGTCAAACTTTATTAATACCTCTATTTAACTTAATCAATAACTATTCAACCTAAAAATAACGTAACATCGGTTGCAATGAGACTTTTGTGTAGATGTTTAAAAATGCTGATAAATTTGGGGGAAATTAACATTCCATAAACCTAATATAAGATAAGGACTTAGAATCAATGGATACACAATCTGTATGTTTTGTTAAAGTCTAACAACTTGGCATGTGATGCTCGGCCATCTTTGCAATTACAACACGAGTGCCGACCTCATGAGATATATAGTCGCGTCGGCAGTCAATATTGAATGAACATTATAATAAAAAAATAATAAAAAAATAAATCGAATTAATCGCAAAACATTTCCTGTTAACAAATACATCATTGCATCGTTCAATTTAACAAACTAAATTAATTATTTTTAGTAGTTTCAGGTAGCATAAACGGAGCTCCAAGTCTAATTAAAATTAATTGTGTATAGTATTTCTCTCCACTACAACTTATAGAACAGGATCTTATATGGGTTCTATAAATTTATATTATGATTAAATATTTAGGTTTGTTTAAGTAAGTGGTTTTATTGTAGATACTAACGATTGTTAATACATATTGAGTTTAAGGAGTAATAGTAAATAAAATAATCTATTCAAGTTTTAATTCTTCTATTCAATTATTTTAACATCATTTTATTCAAATCTATATCCTTATCATCATCATTGATTTCTATTATCTAGGCAATTCTGAAACTTATCATATAGATATTCAACAAGCCCATCATCACATTTAACCTACAATTAGTATCATTCATCATTTCCTTCATCCTATTGCTCTAAACCCTCAAAAATAAATCCATCTCCATAGACGGAATGAAAAGGATGGTTAGTTATAGTAAAAACAAATTATTCCTAAATAAAGACCAGCCTTAAATTACATAGGCATACATTCAACTTAACACTCAAATTAGCATTCAAAGCAAGCATCAAATTTAATAAATTTCCATCATCACACTTTTCATCTCCTACAATAATTCCCTCTCCACAAAGAGTTATGCTTTCATCATAATTGTAACATCATAGTGAAGTTTGTATATACTCCATGATTTTCTGTAAATAGCATTATTCCATACCATAACACCTCCTAGAAAAAATTTAGTTGTAAATATTTTATCCTATTAGAAATTACTATTTGTTTCATCTAAAAACTTATTTATATCTGATCTTAAGCTTCATTTTGGGCCTTATAATATAAGCCTTTTTTAATTTACAATGTCTTGCTCTAAATTAATATAGTAAAATTAATCAACTATCCAAAATCATAATCTCTATAGCTATCAATATCAATGCAGTCATTCTTATTTTTAATTTACTTGATTAAGTTTTAAGCCCTTGAAATCTGTTTTTTGAACTTTCAAAATTAATATGTTGAGAATTTTTACTGTTAATCGTAATGTGACAGTTATGTTATAGTTTTGAATTGATTTAATAAATTATATAATGGTTGGTTGAATTCACATTGGTAAGTTTGTATAATTTTGGCTTCTAATTTATTAATAGACTTTCTATCATAAATTATCAAAATTGATGAAAATTATTTGCAAAAGAAATAAAAGGACAAGATTAAAGAAGAAATAAAATATTATTTTAACCATT